CTTCTACTTTTGACAAAACTTTTCCCCTGGAAACACTTCATTCCCCCCCCCTGCCCCCGCATTTTCTCCTTTTTCTTCTTTTAACAAGGAATAATATAAAATCAAGAAACATTATCTATTTTACACTCCTTATTCATGACTCTAATCAATTGAGAACAATGAGTTACCTATTACCATCTGTCAAAAATAAAATCAGATTGTTAGAATTTTAAGATTTTGTTGAGAATACAAAATAGTAGTTCATGAACTAGGAAATCCTAAGCTGGAAAATAGCAGGAAATCTCAATTTTCCAGCACCTGCAGCACAACTTGCAAAGTAGAGGAGGAAGACCTTTGACCTCTTTTGTGACTCACTGTCATATAATCTTCTTTAAGGTGCAGAGCGCTTGAAGCTGATTTGTCTACAGGTAGCTGGTTCATTTCAAAGAATCATGTTGATAAGGACAAAAAACTAACTTTAGTGTTTTGTTCAGGGTTGGGTTTTCTAAATTGTGTTAAATGACAATAGGCAGTTAACTCTGAGGTATCTAAACTGTGATCTCCATTTTTATTTTTAACACATTTAAAAAATACTTGACTGCAAAAGTATTCCATTCAAGTAATTGGCGTTTTTTAAATGAATGTTTATTGTTTTTGCATCATGTCATGTCAAGAAATCTAAATTGAACCATTATGAGTTAGTGACTGCTGTATAAGAACAAAACTAATTCTGCCAGATATCTGGCTCTGGTTTTGTAACTTCCTGGGTCTCTTTTGATTATATTCTTTTTCTTTTAAATTTATTTATTTATTTATTTTAATGGGGGGTATATATTACAGAAGAATGCATTTTGATTCATTGTACACAATTGCAGCACAACTTTTCATTTCTCTGATTGTACACAATGTAGTGTTGTACCATATGTGCAGTCAAACATGTACCTAGGATCATGATATCCATCATATTCCACCATCTTTCTGCTCCCATACACCCTACCTTCCAAGGAATTGGGTTTTGACCTGATCTCCAATCAGCTGTTTTTATTTTTATTGTTTGTTGGCTTTTTAGTGACTTATGACTTGGCTATAAGGAAAGATCTACATTATTTCATTTTGTGCATACTGTTTTATTATTTACATATTTCATGTTTTTAGTTAGAAGTTAATTACTGTTTAAACAATGAAAGAAAACAAAGGAAACTATTGGCAGTGCTAAATATTGAAAAAGTAGGAGCTGTGTGTGTTTTTTACTTAATTCTCTCTTATACAAATAAAGTTTATTTCTACATAGTTGGATTAAGCTAAGGTTTTTAGGAAATAAATTGGATCAGAGAAATGGAAATAAATGCTCAATATTTTTCACATTCCTTTTTCTCAACTGGCTCAGTATAACTCATTATTTTACATGTTTCACTTCAAACAAGTTTCCTTCTCCCTTGCAACATTTTAAAAATATCCTTTCCCATCAGATAGTTCATATTTCAATACTCTGAGACCAAATCAAGAAAACTTCAGGAATGAATTGGTCCTTTAACTACATGGTGTAGTGCTGTGGTCCTGCACTTGATGAGGATTAGTTCTTACCTCCACTTAGGGAAGGAGACCTAATAATGGGCACTGGGTTTACTACTCTATTCCCTCCCATGGCCATGATACCCTTCTCAATGCATAAAATTTGTGATTAGTCCTTATACTTGAGTTTGAACTTTGTAGTTATGGTTTATAATCCTAAATGTTTTCAAATATATAAGTAGAGAGTTTTAGTCCACTTCTACCCAGTTGAGAATATCTTCCACAAAATCCCTGGCAATTCAATAATATAATGAATTGTTACTTGAAGAAGTAAAGTTACCAAAAGGTAGTCGAATGTTTGTTTAATGAGCTATAAGGGTTATAATATGAATAAGAGTAATAATAACAAAAGCTAATACTTCTTACACACTTATTATTTGCCAAGCCCTGGGCTCATTGCCCTTGGAAGGAATTGTTATAACTAACCCATAGTGGAGATGAGGAGTGAAATTTGAGAAGTCTCTGACTTCTGCCAGGACCCTTGGCTACATAGTGGCAGAGCCACAGCAAGCCCAAGCATGCTAAAACAGAGCCCTTTAATCATTGTAGTGTATATTTCTTACTGACCAAAGTCAGTCCATCTTTATTCTCTACCTCATAAAGTCTAAATTCTTACCCTTTGGGGACAACCAAAAGGTGTTCATTTCTCTTTCTTGTTCACTTATGTAACAAAAATATTAATTTGGTATCTCCTCGGTGGTAGAGCCTATAATCCAGCACTCAGAATAGGACAATGTTTCTGCTTTCACTGTGTTGACACTATTGTCCCTTAAATTGTTTGAAAAACCCACCAAGATCTGAGAATTTTTCTTCTGTAGCTAAAATTTTCCTACTTCTTTGAATCACTCATCATAAAACAATTTCAAAATCTTAACAATTTTGATAGCTTGCATTTTTATACACATTCTAATTTGTAAATTATCTCTTTAAAGCATAACCACCGGGCATGAGGTTATGTTTTCTGATGGATCAGAGAGAGTGAGAGAGAGAAGAGGAGAGAAGAGAGAAGAGGTGAGCTCAGAGCCATTGGAGGTAGATAATCTGGATTTTTGTCTTGCTTCTGCTTATAATTTCCAAACTCTTCTTTCTGAATTTGCAGAATGGTCCCATTAGATATGAAGATTTGTAGTATTCAACGATTCACTATGGCAAAGTTCCTGAATGTTAGGGGTGCCCTTCAAATGTCCTCTAGCATGACAGTGGAGGCGCTGGAAGCCATTTTGCATCCACAACTGCAGTTAGCACAATATTGGGTGAGAGCCCTCAGGCTCTGCTTACGCTGACTCACATGGCAGGCCAGCACCCTCTAGTGGTCACAGTTAAACCTCAAGACGTTTATTTTATTTTATTTTTTTTTAAAGAGAGAGAGAGACAGAGAAAGAGAGAGAGAGAGAATTTTTTTAATATTTATTTTTTTAGTTTTTGGCGGACACAACATCTTTGTTTGTATGTGGTGCTGAGGATCGAACCCGGGCTGCACGCATGCCAGGCGAGCGCGCTACCGCTTGAGCCACATCCCCAGCCCAAGACGTGTATTTTAAATATCACAAGAAATTAACTTAAACCTGATAGGGCCAGGTAACTATGTTTTGCAAGTGCAGAATTGTTTTTCACCTGTTATTTCTAGTTGAATGGGTGGTATGTTCCACAAGATGTATAAACCTGATGCAACTCAGCCTCCATCAGTCCTCTACCCACTTCTCCACTTTAGGCTTTTTTTTTTTTTTTTTTTTAAGAAACACAGGATCTCAAGCTGCTTTTCCTTCTTTCTCCTTTTATTTTTAGTAGTTGTAGATTTTTTTCTTTTGGGACACTTCCTATTTCTCTCTTATTAGTTATTGCTGAATATAAACACATAGACTGTTTTAATAGAAGGATGTTTTCTATACAAGGAATAGTGAGTAATCCATGTGAGGAGATTGTGATTTCAGGGAAGATTTGGACTTGAAATCAGCCCTGAATTAAAAGCCTAACTCTGACGCTTTGTTTGCTGGTGATATTAGTCAAGTGTATTCACTTTGCTAAGTTTACTCAGAAGGTGAAAGTAATGTAATGGTGCTATTGTGGCTCACTTATAAACCATGGTGCACTTCGCCAAGTCCTCACCATCAGTTCCTCTGGAATATCACCCCCTTTTTACCTTGCCAGATCATCTCATATCTTGGGGATGGTTTGATGATACAAGTGTCCACTCCTCAAATTAATTCAGAATCAGGACCCCCACCCCCACCCCCGCCCCACATCCTTAGTGCAAACCCACGAGCTGCAAAGCAGATATCCAAAGCAAGTCTTTGGATACAAAAGATGGAGTTGGGAAATGGCAGTTAAGTCAGATCTCAGATATGTCTAGATCCAAACTTTTGACTCTGTTGCTTACAATAGGTACCAGAATGTTAGCTCATGTCTTGGGAAAAAACAAACAAACAAACAAAGAAACCATCACTCCCTGGAATACTGTGTGCTGTTTTCAGCAAATCTTTTGGACTGCAACGTTTCTTTGCTTTTATGAGAATCTGTCCAGAGAATGATCATAGTTGTCCAGTCCTGCACTAACAAGACAACATGTCCTTTACCAGTATCAATCCAAAATCCTTACAAGATGCATGTCATCTCTCTCCCCTTTATATTCAGATTCCATTTTGCAAAGTGTTGAAGCAAAGACCCATTACTGCTTGAGATTGTGTTCCCAGCTTGGTATCCTTATGAGCCCTAAGAAATGTCTTTCTTCTAAGTTCTCAGATAGGATGAATTTGTTCAATAGGTTGACAAACCAAACCTCTCAAGGACTCAACTCTATTCTACCAGAGAGGGTAGCTCTGTGTCCACATATACAGACCTGTGCCATATAAAATAAATGCCCAATTAAATCCCAAGGAAATCTAAAGGAATGATGATGGTGGTGGTAGTAGTATTACCACTAGGCTACATCCTCAGCCCTAAATCACTGAGTCTTGCCTCAAATTTGAGATGATCCTGCCTTAGCCTCTTGAGTACCTGGGATTACAGATTACAGGTGTGTGCCAACATGCTTGTCATAAAGGAATTATTTCAATCAGTGAAATGTGACAGGTAACATGTTTCTGGACTGAGAGTTTTCCAACTATCCCCTATGGTAGTAGGCAATTATATGTGGGATTACAGGAGTCCACAGGCCCTTGGGTCCTGTCATTCAGTATCAGCATCACATTTCCCAAGACAGAGGCATCAGGATGTAAGAAGATAGGAAGGAAAATGCATTAGAAGGGAAAGACCGTCTGAGCTCACAGGATTGTGAAGTTGCTAACACTGGGTCTGTTCTGAGTCTTTCTCAAGTTCCTTGTCCCCTGTGTAATCACACATGTGTTTAAGGAAAAAGCATTTGGGAAGAACGAGTGTGTTCAAATACATTTATTCAGCAGGCATATCAGCTGGGCATCTTGGTGATCTTAAAGGATTTCACGCCTTGGCTCTCAGCAAGGCCCAGATTTTTTAATGAGGATAGGAATCTGGCGCTTCCTGTAGGAGAGATTGAAAAAGAAAATCAACTTAAAAGTTTATTGACAAAAAGTGACTATGGGAGAAAAATAATGGGAAAAACACCAGCTTTATTAAACAAATATAAGTTTTAAGATGTGTTCCTTTGTCTTTTTCTCATTCATTTATTCACTCATTTTTTTCATCACATATTTGTTGCTAACTATTACTTTCACTAGCCATAAAACAGAAAGGAAAATTGTCCTTACTGAGTTTATATGTCTAGTGTTACAGTGGACCCCTGAAATTAATCTCCTATCTATTGCTGCTTCTTTTGCTCCTGATGCTACTGCCCTAGCTACCAGGTTTCCATCGTAGCTGGTGCCCAGGCTGCTGCAGAACTAGTTGATCTTTGGTTTTAGAAAAATGGGGATCCATGGGACTGGGGTTGTGGCTCAAGTGGTAGAGTGCTCCCTAGCACACGCGAGGCACTGGGTTCAATCCTCAGCACCACATAAAAATAAAATAAAGATATTGCGTCCACCTACAAATAAAACATAAATATAAATAAAAAAGAAAACTGGGGATCCAAATCTGTGAGGTCTTGTTGAGGGAAATCATTTCTGTAGCCCATATAATGTCAGCTAGTGGTAAGTATCCTGCTTTCCAGATAAAAAAAAATTCTGTTCTCTTTATACTGCAGCTTTCTTTAAGCTAAATAGCCCTAAATCCTGTAATTGTTCCTGAGACCGATCCTGATCTCTCATGTTTCTAGCCATCCTTTTCTTGAATATACTGGCCTACAAAATTTCCTCTATTTCTCCATTACTGGAAAATATCTGATACTTCTATTTGTATATGTCCATTTAACTGGACTTTTTTGGTTGTTTATTTTGAGAGAGTTAATTCTTTCTTGTCCCATAATCAATTAACTGGTAATAATAATGATTTCTAAATCAGCTGCATACAGTAAGTACAATGATCTAAACAGAGCCCATGAGGTGATTGGTTTTCTATAGCCCTACTGTTTAATATGGGTCAGCATGTTTGGTGTCCACTTTTGGCTATTTGAATTTAAATAATATAAATAATATACAAATCATATTATTATATATAAATAGTATATTATTTCAGTTTCTCAACAGAAGGGAGACTGTTAGGATAGAGGAAAGGCATCAGGGAGGGAGGAATGGGCAAGGAGAGGTACTAGGGAAAGAAACTGATCAAATTATGTCACATGCATATATGAACACACCACAGTAAAAACCCACTATTCTGTATAACTGGTATGTATCAGTATATATATTTTTAAATTTTAGTTTCTCAATTGTATTAGCCACATTTAAGTGCTAGCGGCTAGTAGCTATGTACAGATAGAGAGCATTCCTACCACTACAGAAAGTTCTGTTGGATGGTTATGATCTTATAGCAAAAAAGATGTAGAACAAAGAGAAAAAGTCCTAATTGAACATACCCTCCAGGTGCATATTGACAAAGGAGATCACCACATGCCAGCCCTTGTTTGATATTATCTGCTTACCTCAAAACCTGGCATCTAGGATGAGAGTTTGGCTCTAGTTACTGTGCAACCGATTTGTTTGGGGTATGTATGTATGTATGTATGTATGTATTTATTTATTTCAGGACTGGGGATTGAACCCAGGGCCTTGCAGTCTCTAGGCAAGCATTCTGCCACCAAGAAACATCTCCACCTGGGGAGGGCCTTTAATACATGATAGAAATAAAGGCAATATCATATATTAGGAAATAAGTTGTAATTTAAGAGAGCCAATTTTACCTATAAACCAAAGTTTTCTTTTTTTAATATTTATTTTTTAGTTATAGGTGGACACAATACCTTTATTTTATTTTTATGTGGTGCTGAGGATTGAACCCAGTGCCTCATACCATGCTAGGCGAGCACTCTACTGCTGAGCCACAACCTCAGCCCCTAAGTTTTCTTATCTAAGAAAAATAGAAAGAGCAAGAAATGTTACATTTTTCTGCCCTCCAAACCTTTCTCCCACATTTACATATATTTGAAAGAATAAAAAGAGCCAGCAGGAATTAATAGGTCTTAAAGGGCAAACTAATGTCCCAGCCCTCTGCTCATATTTTCCCAATGTGTCACCCTCAATATTGGGCTTTTTGAAGTTGGCATCTGGAAATTTCCCAAGTCTCAGGGCTGTTCTGCTTTTTTCCCCTTAGGTGGAAATATGATAGTTGATCTTATGTCAACAGCATGGGTCATGGGAAAAGTAACAAGTGGTTGCAGATTCTTTTTGTAAGTCTTTCGTGTGGAAGCAAATTCTCCACAATACAGCAGAATACATATTGTTTTGTGTTGAATCTTTGTTTTCACACTTCTTGGTAAACTCTGAGAAGTTTCTGAGACAGTTTAAAACTGCTCAAAAAAGGGATTGTTTAATAGGAAGAGAATTCATACAATAGTGGAAATGTATATAGTCATTGAGCCTAAGTCAAAGTCTTTAATAACAAGTCAACCCCAAAATAACTGTTTACTGAATCACTTATGGAACCTCTTTTATTTGGATTATTCACATATTTATTTAGCCTAGAATGATCCTTGTTGATGCTGCCAAAAACTTAGAATCCTGTTTAAATGGCATTCTTTTCATGAATACTTTCTTGATTCCTTTCATCAAGAATAAATCTCTAGGGATGGGTGTAGCTCAGAGGCAGATGAAGCACTTTCTTGCATGTTCAAACCTCTGAGTTTGATCCTAGCACTAGTTTTAAAAACAAGTCTCTGCTGTACTTCTGTAATACTTATGTCTTTTCTGCTGTCATTTGCTACAAATTATAAGGTGCTGGCTTACATGTGCTCATGACCTATATTCTCCTAGTCATAAGATTAAGAAAGGTGGCAGAGGCTAGTGTTAATTGTTCTATTGCTGAATGAAATATGAAATTGGTGGCACACTTACATCTGACCCCTGAATCCAATTCCTTTCACCCACTTACGGGCACTTCAGAAAATGAAACTTCTTTGAGGTTAGCTATCATATCCATGATTTAAAATGATACAAAAATTCACTTTTTGGCACCCAAATCTATATAATTTATATTTGTATATTTGGGGGCTTTAGAAAATACAATCACTCCTGTCAGTAAGAATGACTTTTTAAAGTTAAAGTAACTTTTTTGTGTATAGGCTTTTTATGAATCTAGACTATCTGTTGTTTTATTCTAAAACATGAGTTTTATCCTCTAAGTGATTTTAAAATCATATTATCATATCAGAGAGATAAAAAAGGGAAAAATTAGTTTTGGAAAAAGTTGACATTTTTTCATAGTAAGATTCATGCTATTGGTATATTGATTGGGCTTTTAGGAAAATAAGATATATAAAAGTTTGAAGACAGTAAACTTAAAATATATATTAAAAAGAAAAGTCTGTACTTACTGATTTTCAAGGCACAGCATGCATTCATTGGCGTAAGTATTTCCATCATTTCCACAGACAGGGTCATAAATCTTGGTGCATCCAGTAATTGCATTGTTGCAATTAGCCTGAAAATGAAGTTAAATACAATCATTTCCCATCATCCTCTATTCTTTGAGTTGATGGCAAAATTACTAAATGGTTTTAATTTTTTTTGTGCATGGTTACAATCTGGAGAATTACACTGAATGTTCCAAGGAGAGGAATCTAAAACCTGGAGTCAGAAAATCTGGTTCTAAGTAAAGTCTCTGCTATGTGCAAGTTGTGTGATGTTGGTGTGTTTTTGGTTCCTGAATCTCAGTCACTTCATCTATAAAATGGGAATGATGTTACCATTTCCCATCAATGTCATAGTGCTGTCATGAGGATTCCCTCAGGTGAGGAAGATGATGTCCCAGGTTACAATTATGGCAGGTGCTTGCTTCTCTCAGGCTAGTTGCTACCTGGGGCATGTTCTTTCCTACACATGCTTCCCTTAAGCATGCAAAAGCACTAGGTGTCTTCCGTTCTTGGAGTCTTTGTCCTCTGTGTGCTCTGCTCCAGTAAGAGCTAATAATCACCAAATGGCTGTTACAGTGTTCCCACCTGTGTTTTGCCAGCCCTATTTATCCTTCATTGCTCAAAATCACTGTCACTTATTTAGGGGCATCTTCTTTTAACTATGTGATGCTCCTAATGGTACCAGAGCTTCTTCATAACATTTATCACAAATGCAATAATTTATTAATTTATAAACATTTGGTTCATCAGCTGCCTAGATATAAGTGTGAGGAGAGATGGAAACTTCTTCTCCTAGTCACCAAATTTAATGAAATTACCTTTTGGAAAAAAGAAAATATGGAAAAGTTAGGTGTAAAATTATTTTTCTAGAGGAAGAAACTGGTTCATTATTTTCTGCTGTTCATTGTAAACTCGAGGTGCACCTGGGTGACTGGGGGAAACTTATGTCAACATGGTCAAGCTGGCCCTAAGAGGAAGGGCTTACTCAGTGGACTAGAGAAAGCTTCCACCTCAAATGCTTGTCTTTCCAGCTAGTCCTAGTGCATACGTGAATTCCTTCACAACAAGCATCAGACATCTGCATAGAAGTTGCCCAGGCGTCAGTGAATGTGTCCTCCAACACAGGCCTGTGGGCTGAGGAACTACCTTACCGCCTGTATTTACCAGGCTGAGTGTTCCTAGCATTCCTACTCTTCATCCTAACCTCAGGTTAAACTGAAAGTTGACAGACTGCACTTCCGTTGGATCAAAAGTTTTAGCCTCTTATAAAATTCTAAAATTCTCTTTACCTTTCTTCCTTGGGAATCAGCTTCAGTGTTACCTAGAAAACAAACAAATGAAAAAAACCAGACATGTTAAGCTGGATCGTAAATGAGAGATGCAGACCTATTCTTATCCAGAACCCTCTGCTTTCACAGAAGGCTTGACTTCTTTGCTGGCCTTTTCCACTGACCACCTCTTATTTCCATCCTCTTTCAAGGACATATGATTGGTTTCCATTTACTCCCTGTCTGCTAAAATCCTAAGAAGTTAAGTAAAAATCTTATTATGACTAAAAGTATCTCAATTCGGTATTTCAAAAACATTGATTCATTTCCTTGAAAACAGAAATTATGTACTTACTGCTTGAAATTGGTGCTGAGTAAATGACATTGAAGGCTCACTGACATTCTCACAACCAGTCATTAGATCTTTGATCTCACAATGAGTGGAGTGTTTAAGTATCTTTATCTGAGTTTATGGGTCAAGGTATGGGTATTTACATAACTAGCTATGAAATAGTTCTCACTAACATTGACTAGGTCTTCAGATATAATTGCATTAAGTCCCCTTTTCATAAGTTAAAACCAGACCCTTTTTTCCAGTTCACCATCAGTTCCCAAGAACCTTTCCTCACACTTGTATGACACAGACTGACTAAGGATCAAATCGTATTTCTTGAATTTACAAATAGCAAAATAGACACTGCATTCTTCAGAAAATTGCAGGTCTTGCTAACATCATGTAGGGGATGGTAAATGTAGAAGAATTCCCTGAAAGGAAGGGAAATTAATCTGATAGCACCCAAAGTAGGAAATGTTTATGAGATATAATTTTGATATCAACAATCTCTGAGGGCATGGAGAAGAAGAGCTGCTGGAATAGTCAGAACCTGATGCTGTTGTTGGGGTCCCCGTGGGTTTTAGAATCTAGATGAGTCTAAAAATTGATGAGCAGGTGCTCACCACAGGCATCTATTTGCATTAATTAATATGTATGAGGAGGGTAAAGGGACCTCTGCTCCCATAAATATTTAGCAAATATAACAAATGATATTCTACTCTTTAGCGAAGTACGGGTTTGGCTCTCAGTAATATTTTCTCCTGGATTGGAGATGAAGTTGAAAATGTTAGACATTTTCAATGATAAAAAGTAATCTGAAGGCTGTGGGTTCAGAATTGTCTGCTAACCTTTTCAAGAGGCAGTTTGGGGACCTATGTATACCATCTACTCAAGCAGAATATTTTCCTTTGAAACATTCTGTAGATCAAAAATTAAAATTTTAATCAGTCAAACCATACGTTTTATACTGAATAACTGGCAACCATTATTATCTATTTAATGCAATTCCATGAAAATTATAAATTTGTAAATTGGCCTTAAGCATTTACAGAGTGAGAGTGTATTTAAGGTTGAGGTATCCCCACTTTCTCTCCATCATATCCCTTATAGAATGTCAGCTCCAGCCTAGAGGAAAACCTTTCTATCTCTGGGCACCTCCCAATGGAATTGTTTCTCTCATTTTATGTTAAAAATTTTTCTTTCTATAATTCTTAACTATTGATCTTATTTTATCTCATTGGGATCAAAGGGCTAGCCAAGACTAACTAGTTTTAATTAAGTCTAGACTATGTTAAATTTCCAGAAAGATGTTTGTTTAGCAATGCAATAGAGCAAGCAGTTTTAAATTTGAGAAATATGCAAATCACTTACCAGATAAACTTAACAAGGCCAAGGCACAGAGAAGAAAGATGCTTGTCAACTTCATAGCTGAGGTTCTGAGTCAAGAGGTCAGATGAAAAAGGCACAGAGCTTACCACTGCTTTCAACAACCCTGGAACTGGAGGGTCATATAGGCTATGGGCAGCACAGGCTCCACCTGCTGCGTTGTGTAGCAGGTGCCCCTGGTTATTGATTGACTGTCATGGCCTGGCCTCCAGGCTCAGAGAGAGCTGTGTGCATGAGAGGTGACAGGAAGAGGCACCTCAAATTCTATCAGGAAAAAGCAGTTCTGATGGTTAGCTAGTTAACTCGAACCCTTACTCTCTGCAGTTACGGGAAAGCTCTTCCCTTCTGGAACTCCAGTTTTCTAGGTGTAAGGTGAACTCAAAGTTCCTGTCTACTCTGTAGATCTGGATACAAGAGCAAGTAAGGAGAGCTAAAACACCCTCTCCATTCTTTGTTCCCTTTCTCCACTCTTATTATTCTTTTCTGTCTTCTCTCTTTTTCAATCACCTATTCACTAAGACTCAGGTGGGGTTGATGGAGGGACAGGTCAGAGCTAGGGAGGACTGAGTTCTATCAAGTGTATGCTGTGGAGGTGGAGGGTGCTGCTAAGAACCACTTAGCAGCTGTGCATTCCTGGATAGTTGATTCACTTTTGCTGTGCCTTAATTGATTCACCTGCAAATTGAAATAATATTAGTATCTAACTCAAAATTTTGATTTTTCATTAAAAAATAATATGTACTGCATGTCTATCATGTGTTATTAGAAGATGATTCTCTGTTCTCTCATATTGCTGCAAGACTTGTGTTTAGAATATCCATCACCTTTGTTTCAGACTGTCTTTTCCAGGGTGTTTGTATAACAAAGGTTCTTGAAAAACAAAATAATGTCACCCTCGGATGCAAGGAGTCAGTTTGTTTATTGTCTAGAGCAACAGAAATATCTTTTTGCAAGACAAAATTCAGGTGTCCTTTTAAAAAGATTTAGAATTTTTGCAGAGCTTGCCTTTTTTTTTTTCTTGGTACACAGTCACTTTCTGTGTGAGTGTTGTTTGTACCTCTTCATGTCATCCTGTGAAAATTGGGGTTGAGGAAACCAGAGCAAATGATGTCCCTCTGGCCATTGCTACAGAATAAGTAGGTGTCTTCTTGACCCAGGAGTCTGTCTTCTGTTAGCATCCATTAAACTGTGGCAGCCTAACTTGTTAGCTTCCAAATAGGGTAAAATCTCAGACCCTTTCCAGATCTTGACATCTAGTAAGCACTGTACCAATCCCTAGGGATATCCTAGTCAATAAAAATGACAAGATCTCTGTCCTTTTGGAGCTTCTGTTTATTTTAGTTGAGGGAGACAGACAACAAGTATCATAAATGATGATAAAATATATTATGATAAATACTAAGGAGAAAAAGATACAGAAGGTAAAGGAGGATTTCGGATATATTTGTGTTGGAGAGGTTTTGCTATTTAAGTGACATTCCAAACAGAAGGAAGTGAATATCCAAAAATTTGCATTCTAGACAGAATGGCCAAGTGCAGAGGCTCTGAGGCAGAGATATTTGAGAAATACCTAGGATGACAGTTTAGCTGGAGCAAAATGATAGAAAAATAGGAGATGAGATAAGGAAAACAATGAGGGCCTAGATCATGCAGGGCCATGCAGTGTATAGTAAGCACTTTGGATTTTACTGTTGAGAAATACTCAGAAGACATTGAGTGCTTTCTTGACATCCTCATCTGGACTTCCTCCAGGCACCTCAGATCTGATGCATCCCAGTCTACTCTTTTGATCATTCCCACCAATATTCTTCTCTTCCTTCTCCCACTGCTTCTTTTCTTTCTAGCTGATTGTTCAAGTCCAAACCTAAGTGTTCTCCTTGATGCTTCCCTTTCCCCTTACCATGCACCATCTTCCACACCTAATTGATCCTTCTTGGATCTATGCCCAGGATGACCTCAGTCCTGGATGCTGCTCATCACCTTCCACTGCCATATCTAAAATAAGGCCAGTATTTCCTCTTCGGCTTTTCACAATTTCCTTCAAATGTTTTCCCAACATCTACTGTTCTTTACTCAAAACTCTACCCATGGAAATAACAAATTAACTTTGTAAAATGCAGATATAGTCATGTTATTCATGTTATTTTCTAGTTTCTGATTGTCCAAACTCCCCAGGAAGAGTGTAGGCTCTGAATGACTTGATTCCTTTCTTCTTCTCTTGCTTGCCCCCCACCCCCAGCTCTGTCCTTGCTCATTCTACCAAGCTTTAATGGCCATTTCTTTGTTCTGGTTAGCAATTAGAAATTTCTAATTCTGGTTAGAAATTAGACCAAAAGTCATGATAGGTAATGGACCTTTGGTGACAGCAAGTAGAAGGGGATGAATGAAATACACCAAGAAGACAGGCCAGGATGCAAAAATAAATCTGCCATTTCAACTGTGATCTGACACTGAGTGAATCAACATCCTTAACAACTAAAATGCATATCATAATATATTTGTTTGGTGTGAAAATAAAACTAGAAATTGTATATAAATACTGTGCAGTTACTTTATCCTCCATTTTACCTGGAAGTACAATTGCTAGCTAGTAATATTATCACCCTCTTTCATGGACTGGAGCAATGGATATACATTTAGGCTTCATGATCAAGTTCTTGATGGAATAAATATTGTTTGTCCTGCAGTGTTGGGTGGCATTGACTAGAGCAATACTGCTACTGTGCTAGACGATTAGTCATAGTTATTGTGTTTATATTGCCTAGCCTGTGTAAATTACTCCCCCTTCTTTACCTCTATGTACATATTTCTGCGTGTCTATCCCTGGGAACTTGAGCAAATATGGCATGACCTACTCCCTTCTGTCCCAAGGACTCATTATTCACCTGATTAAAGAATGATGAAACTTAAGAGAACTGCTCCAATGGGTGCTGATAAAACTCACTGGGGTGGGGATTTTGGTTGGGCACCTGTTGATTTTCACACCCTATGACCCGGGGTTTGCCTAGTAAGGAAATTGACAGAAACTAGAGATAGAAAGCCTGTGATATCTGGCCTGACATTTGAAGACCTCTTTGACATCACTGTGTCTTTACTCTTCAGCCTTTGATTTTGTTATCCAGAGAATAGCATAGCCATTCCAAAACCACTCTTCTTTTCCTTTCACTACTTACTCTCCAACCAGATTTTACTTGTACCCAACTTATAAAGCATGGCTGAAATATCTGTGGTGCTTGATTTAATTGATTTAATCCCATGCTAGGCAAATCCTCTACCACTGAGCTATAGCCCCAGCCCCATCAACTTATTTTAAATAACTAAAAATATTGTTTTATTTTTCCACTGCAGTGTGATGTCACTCTTGTTGGAAACCAATTGGCCACGTAATTGTAGAGAAGTTTCTGGATACTCTTCTCTTGTCTGTCCTTGCTGAGATGGCCTCTTGGATTTTTAATCAAATGTGTATTCTCTCTCTAGCATCTGTTTGCCTTTCTGCCATTTGGTTCTGCCCTCACCACTGCACTTTCTTTGTATATTGTCATGCACATTACATATAGTTGTGTCCCCACTATGTCTTGTCTTTGTTATTGGCTAACATTTTTTTTTACTTTGTAGAGGTCCTAAAAGCTATGAAAAATTCACTGTGACCTATCAAACCACTTCACTTTCTTAAAATAGCCTTTAACTAATACTGTAAAGAATAAATTGGAGTTAAAATATTTCTTCTTGGGCTTGATTTTTTTTTGTTGTTCTTTTTAGATATATATATGACAGGAGTTGCACTGGTTGTGTGTAAGCATAGGAAAGTTCTGTCCAATTCATTCTACTGTCTTTCCTATTGACATCTCCCTTCCCTTCTATTCATTTCCCTTTGTCTAATCCAATGAACTTCTATTCTTTCCCCCACATTTATAGTTTATCTATTGTGAGTTGAGCTGCTATAAACATTGATGTGGCTGTGTCACTACAGTATGCTGATTTTAAGTCCTTTGGATATAAACCAAGGAGTTGGATAACTGCATTCCAAGTTTTCTGAAGAATTTCTTTACTGCTTTCCAGAGTGGTTGCACCAATTTGCAGTCCCACCAGAAATGTATGAGTGAATTAGGCTTGATTTTTGATAGTGAAAGAATGTTGTAGACAGTGATAAACACATCCCTGTGCAGGCATCAGTGAGGGACTGACTGAGCTTAGGTGCACCTCATTGTTCCAATCAACTGGACATGTCAGCAGCATCATTTTTTTTTTTTTTATGAAAACCCCATGGTTAGTTAGTCTTAGGGAATTTGAATGTCTTTTAAAAAACATTTTAAAGCAAAGTAAGTGTCAGCTGACCATCTCACCATGTGTTTCCAGGGGTTGCAATTGTTCTCTAGAATAACCATGTTCCTCGTAAGCATAAGAGTCATCTGTTCTAACCCTCACTCTGATATTTAAGTCCCATCTATCTGCTGTTGATTGTCAAGTCACTGCTTCATACTTCAGGGGAAAAGGAATAGCAGTTCTTTATATGAGGCTGCAATCTTTTCTTCTGGAATTTTCATCTATTTATCCTAATCCTTGACCTCAGAACAGTTTTACTCCATTTTCTCCAGGATATCCCTTCTCATATTTGTTAATAATGATGACAATCTATCCATTGTCCTCAGAGTCATTCCATTGTGTCTTTGTGTTTTTAAAGGAGATAGCCTAGAAATTTATTCTGGGACAGTTTGACAATGCACTAACCTGTAGCATATCACCCCCTCTCTCACTCCAGACACTGAAACTCTAACAATATGTCTGGATCACATTCATTTTCTTACCTTAACATGTAGGCTGTTCTTCCATCTCGTTTTCCCTCATGAGATGCTGCTAAGTTTTTGGTCTTGGTTCTGCCCTTTTGCTGACACTCAGCTTAGGGTTTTACCTGGAGTCAGACAAATGGGGAAGTGCCTCAACTTGACCCCTTCCATAGCACATGGAAGCCATGGAACTGACATTTAAATTCAACAAGCACTTACATAGACTTAACATGGGTTAAGTGTTGGTAGAAGGAAT